GCAGAGGACATAGGAGCCTGATTGGAGTTTCTCGTGGCATAGGACGGCCACACAGAGATACTTTGGGATTTTCTGAATATAAAATACCGTACGCACGATGCTGAGATCAAGTGGTGCGATATCAAATTGTTCGTGATCTACCACATCGAGCAGAACGGGATCCAAACACAAGCTTACCGACGGTTAGGCTACCGACCTGACTGTACAAATGATCCCTGGCTTCACCAGACGCCAGAAGTCGGACACCATGTCCTTTGCCGCGACGTCCATCTCCAAAAAAACTCCATCTTCGTCGTGAAAAGGCTTGAAATACTCAATATTCAACCGAGATTCGCGGTCTCACCCTTTCTCACATCGAATCATTTTTTTGTTGTAGCAGTTGCAGGGCAGATCCCCGCCACTACTTCAACAGAACATGGCTCCAAAGCATGCCTGGAACAAGCCATATCGAGGTTGCAAGCCACCCCTCTAGACCTCTCAGCACATTTTTTGAAGAAATTCGAAATTTCAATGGTGGAAGATATACTATGAAGAGAATTTCAAAAAGTATGTTTCGCGGAGCGATCGCTCAACCGACGTCATTCAAACTTTGCAGGATGGTTCAGACGTTCATGCTAGGCATGGAACCACAGAAGATGATAATTATCATAGCTGACACTCAGAGTCACACACACAGCAGATTTGTGTGCACAGATACTAAATCAGTGGACGTCGTCATCTTCTTCCCGCTGATCTCAAATGTACTATGACGTGCTATTTCGCCTGACGGTGACCAATAAGAGAAGTTGTTTGAAATATTTTATTCTCACGATTGCCTGTGACCAATAAGAGAAGTTGTTTGACATCTTTTATTCTCACGATGGCCTGGGACCAATAAGAGAAGTTGTTTGAAATCTTTTATTCTCACGATGGCCTGTGGCCAATAAGAGAAGTTGTCTGAAATCTTTTATTCTCGCGATGGCCTGTGACCAATAAGAGAAGTTGTTTGAAATCTTTTATTCTCACGATGGCCTGTGACCAATAAGAGACGTTGTTTGAAATCTTTTATTCTCACGATGGCCTGTGGCCAATAAGAGAAGTTGTTTGAAATCTTTTATTCTCACGATGGCCTGTGGCCAATAATAGAAGTTGTTTGAAATCTTTTATTCTCACGATGGCCGGTGACCAATAAGAGAAGTTGTTTGACATATTTTGTTCTCACGATGGCCTGTGACCAATAAGAGAAGTTGTTTGAAATATTTTATTCTCACGATGGCCTGTGACCAATAAGAGAAGTTGTTTGAAATATTTTATTCTCACGATTGCCTGTGACCAATAAGAGCAGTTGTTTGACATCTTTTATTCTCACGATGGCCTGGGACCAATAAGTGAAGTTGTTTGAAATCTTTTATTCTCACGATGGCCTGTGGCCAATAAGAGAAGTTGTCTGAAATCTTTTATTCTCACGATGGCCTGTGACCAATAAGAGAAGTTGTTTGAAATCTTTTATTCTCACGATGGCCTGTGACCAATAAGAGACGTTGTTTGAAATCTTTTATTCTCACGATGGCCTGTGGCCAATAAGAGAAGTTGTTTGAAATCTTTTATTCTCACGATGGCCTGTGGCCAACAATAGAAGTTGTTTGAAATCTTTTATTCTCACGATGGCCGGTGACCAATAAGAGAAGTTGTTTGACATCTTTTGTTCTCACGATGGCCTGTGACCAATTAGAGAAGTTGTTTGAAATATTTTATTCTCACGATGGCCTGTGACCAATAAGAGAAGTTGTTTGAAATCTTTTATTCTCACGATGGCCTGTGACCAATACGAGACGTTGTTTGAAATCTTTTATTCTCATGATGGCCTGTGGCCAATAAGAGAAGTTGTTTGAAATCTTTTATTCTCACGGTGGCCTGTGGCCAATAAGAGAAGCTGTTTGAAATCTTTTATTCTCAAGATGGCCTGTGACCAATAAGAGAAGTTGTTAATATAAGAATTGAGACACGCAATGAAGAGTTTGCGTTGCTGTGTCGTGGGGGCCCGGGGGGAGAAGGCAATAACCCAAACCTAGTTTGGTTTCAGTGGCGCCCAACCTGGGGACCCACAACTTCTAATATTCCTATAGTAGTCGTCCTTTTTGCGTTGTTTCGTTCTTTCTCGGCCTAGCGAATTTATTATTCTTTTCTGCGTCTGCATTTGGCGACTTCGTACCACCTGACCGACGTACTTTGGAGACAAGATATTATGGATTGGAGGTTCGTTTCCCACGCAACCCTATACCTCCGGCGTGCTTGGGCGATGAGGCAACATGTCGTTCGTTACACCACATTCCCGGTGAGTCAATCCCTGATAAGGATATCGCTGTAGTTTATTCAGTTGCCTGCCTATTTGTTGTCGTCAGCATTACTTCACCGACACACCCAGGGTCAGGGGTGCTTGCCACGTCGTTCTGTTTTGTCGGAGCAATAATAATAGTATTTTCACAATCTCGGTAGGCGGTCTTTTACCTTGTGTGGGCTATTTTGTTTGTGTCGAGCGTCGTAGTACTTCACCAGCCATGGTTTAGTCTTTCACGGAGCCTTTTTTCTTCTTTTTTTCGTTTTGTTTGTTGGCGTGTCTCTCCAGTTTGCCAGGGTGGGCGTCTGATCATGGTGAACCACGGTCCTCCTGGTGAGCTGGAATGATCCTGTGTTTGTTTAGCGAAGTCTTGCGAAGTTGAGTTTTACAGGGTATTATTATTTAATTTAAAAAAAAACAATGTTGATGCTGGCTCCGAGCCGAGGGTTTTCTATTCAGGTTAGAGTCCTGTGGGTTACTCCCCTTCTAAAGTTTGTGTGACAGAGTACGATGAAGTTTGTGTGACAGTGTATCGATGGATTTTCGATTTGTTTATTTTCCCTGATTGACTGCATGGCTCGCTGTGTTTTTGTGCTTCTTTGCCCTGAGCGCGGCTTCGTCATCAACCCAACGGGCAAGTCGGCCAGAGGAACACCGCTCGCCGTAATCTGCACGTTCTCCTCAGACTGCCGCTTGCTCATCAATGTCTCCTGCCGATTATCTGCCCATCCCCTCCTGTCCTCGTGTTTCTTTTCTCTGATTTTTGTCTTTTGTTCTGCCTGTTCAATATTTTCCCCTTTGTGGAGAGTCGAGGTCGACTCTCCACAAAGGGGAGGGCTATGTTGCAAAATTGTATTACGAGTATGATTTACGCATGTTGCTGTATTTGGTTCTTGTCTCGTAGAGTCCAGTGTCTGATGTAGGCCTTGACAGATTATGCTAGCATAATTTTTCGCATAATTCCTACCAAAATCAAATAATCGCATAATTCGAGGCAAATTGCATACGAATCGCATAAAATTGGAATAATCCGACTGTTCGCATCAAATTCCATTCAGTTGTATATGTTCTACTTGTACAAGTACAAGTAGATGCACCAGGAAGTCGTAAGTTTACGACTCCCTTGAGAACATGTCCAGTCCACTACAATCAGTGACCAGGGTGACGGTCGTAGCTAAGTCGGACAGTGCGTTGACCCCGTTGAACGTTTGCCACTACAGTACAACGCCCACTACAAAACAATTCACCTGTTATTTTGCACAGAACCATCATATACATGTACAATCATTAGCAGCATATGTGAGCATAATGCGGCATAATATGATAACTTTTAGCATAAAAATAGCATAATTCTGCAATTTTTTCAGCAATGCGAAAAGCATAATTTCACGAAAATATTAGCAAAATCTGTCAAGGCCTAGTCTGATGGTCTAAGTGTACGTGGGAGTATGGTGTGATGTGTGACGTGTTTTATGGTATGCGGTGCATGCTAGAGTACGCGTTTTCAGAGTGTGAGGATCTGCTTCCGTCTGTGTGAGAGTGACTGTCAAGTGAATGCTGTACATGCGCAGTGCTAGTTTGGTCTGGGAATGAGAGTCATGTGTGATTAGTCCGTGGTTTGGTTGTCTTGGTCTTGGTCATGTGTTCTGTGCGTATTGGTCCCTGATTGGTCGTCCCGATTTGTCGTCGCAATATTACTGCTTGTTCTTGTTCTTTCTTCGTGTCTTTTCTCATCGTCGTTTTCAGCTCAGTCTAGTCGTTTCGTCTTTCTCCTCTTGCGCCCTCGTCGTTTGTTGTTTGAAATCTTTTATTCTCACGATGGCCTGTGACCAATAAGAGAAGTTGTTTGAAATCTTTTATTCCCACGATGGCCTGTGACCAATAACAGAAGTTGTTTGAAATCTTTTATTCTCACGATGGCCTGTGACCAATAAGAGACGTTGTTTGAAATCTTTTATTCTCACGATGGCCTGTGACCAATACGAGAAGTTGTTTGAAATCTTTTATTCTCACGATGGCCTGTGGCCAATAAGAGAAGTTGTTTGAAATATTTTATTCTCACGATGGCCTGTGACCAATAAGAGAAGTTGTTTATATTAGAATTGAGACACGCAATGAAGAGTTTGCGTTGCTGTGTGACGGGGGCCATGGGGAGAAGGCAATAACCCAAACCTAGTTTGGTTTCATTTGTGTGCATGTGTGTGCATGTGTGTGTGTGTGTGTGTGTGTGTGTGTGTGTGTGTGTGTGTGTGTATGTGTGTGTGTGTGTGTGTGTGTGTGTGTGTGTGTGTGTGTGTGTGTGTGTGTGTGTGTGTGTGAGAATGTGTGTGTGTGTGTGTGTGTGTGTGTGTGTGTGTGTGTGTGTGTGTGTGTGTGTGTGTGTGTGTGTGAATGTGTGTGTGTGTGCTCGCGCGCGCGCGCGCGTGTGGATGTGTGCGCGCGTGTGTGTGTGTGTGTGTGGTGTGTGTGTGTGTGTGTGTGTGTGTGTGTGTGTGTACGAATGTGTGCTAACAGGGCTGGCTGTGAACCCGTGGGCTACGCCACATTTTCCTTGCTTAGTTATACAATTACAATTTTTTTAAATTTTTTTTACTAGGGCCATGTACACACGTAATGTTTTTAGCCATGAATAAGGGGAGTGGTGGCGTGGTCTATACACTTGTAGAGACAACTTAGTTCTTACCAACTACAGGGACAGTTCTTGTTTGTGACGTAGTCTTGGCAGCATTATAACACCGTGCTTGTATTTCATGAACATTAGTAGCAGTACATGTGAATGGTGGTTGGTTGATATCCACAGTACAGGTGATATTGATGGACTGGCCAGGTGTGTAGGTACTACCATCTAGAGATGCTGTTCGTGTCTTTGTACAAACACCAGCAGTACAATTGCTGGTAGCAGTGCCTGTCACTACCACATTATTGACCATTAGTGTCACTGTAGGTTCTGGGTATCCCTGACCTGTACAACTGATTGGGTGAATAGTGTTGTTGTTGTCCACATAATGCGATGTGTTGAATGACAGTATGGTAGGTGGAACTGTGCATAGCAGAGACAGAGAAATGATCTACGACTTTGAAGTACTATGATCAGCACGTGTTTATCCTTTTCAAGCTTTGGCACAACTTGATCACCAGACTAAAGTTGAGGGGAGAAAAGAGTTGATTATTATGTATATATATATATATATCACATACACAAGATCAGACCAAGCATCTTCTCAGCAAAGCATAGGTGCAGATAATAGTGTACTGCTTCATACAATACTGAGCACACCCTCAAACAAGCCGGCGTTTTAAAACAGCTAGCCAACTTTTGCAAACACTCGATCACCCCTGCTAACGTTTTTGCCCCACTTGTTTTTCATGATCAATTGCTTCTTGCCTCCCCGGGTAATTTCCACCTAGCTGTTTCTGGCTAGTATCAGTTCTATCACACTTATCAATCGTCCTTATTGGCGTCACGCCATCGTGGAATAGAAGAATATAATATAATAATAAAATAGCTATGAAAAGTATGAATGCCGCAGACATCACCACGCAACATGACAATTTTGTTCAAGGTTTGAGATTGTGTGTTTCCAGAATCGATTTTCAAGCTCCGATCATCAGTGGAAATACGGAAGTAAAGTGATCAAAGGAAAAAACAAAGGTTAAAAATCCAAAGAAGTGTGACACATGACGCGTAGAGGGCTAAGATGAAGAGTAAGTTTGACAAATGGGCAAGAACAGTGCAGAAACAACTCATGAACAAAGGGTGCTAACTCACGAAAATAACCTACAAAGTGCTACAACATGTTCGTTTTGCTTACACAAATCGAGCTTATGCGTACGAATATATGGATGATCGGAGCTTGAAAAATGATTGTGGAAACTTAGATTTTGTATAATAAAAAACATGGACAAGATCGTGGCCAATCCTGCCATGACTTAACCGGTATTTCAGACTTTAACCCCCCCCCCCCCCCCCGAGAACGTCCGAAGCCAAGTTGCCTAATTGAATTTATAAATTGTACAGGGCTGGCCAGCGAAATATGGCCACCGGCATTCTTTCTGTGCCCCGCAACAAGTAGGTCTGCACGACTTGCAGCTGTGGTGGCCTGGGTTGTTCAAACAATTGAAATATTTTGCAACGTAATTTCTAGAAAGTTGACTGCAGATGTGTCACACACGGTACTACCGCTTTTCGTGTAGGATGATCCATCCCATTCATCAAAATGTTCATTGTGAGGAGTATGAAATTTGGTTCAGACTGGATGCCTAGCTATTGACCAAGACTCTATTTGGCTATCCATTGTGATAGGCGGTTGGAGTCACCGGTAGAGACAACCACACGATGGATTCCTCACGAATGCATTCACTGGAAACTGGACGGAAACAGCACTGCCGGTGCCGACTAGGTCCAGAAATAAACATTTCCAAGAACAACCATGTTACAATGGCGACCAGCACGGTCAGGAGACATTACACGTATGTCAGCTACAACACAATAATTATTATATTCTCTCCACACGCTCGATGTGAAAGTAAATTACACCCTCGAACGCTGTGTTTGTCAAGGGGCCAGGGCAGTGATTCATTCTCCGAGTTGAAAAGTGTTTGGACTGCTGCTCCTTGGTGCCAGAACATTTCGCAGCTGTTCACTGACCTGACTCACTTCACCAAACGACTTATGATCGTTTCGTTCTACAAGTTTTCAGGGGCAGAAACAAGAATTGCGCCCGCAATGACAGGACGAAAGTCTAACTAAAGTCCTGTAGCCACGAAGAATATTCCGCAAGCCCTTTCTTCTGCTTCCAGTGTTGTAGCTCTCTAGTCCACTGGCAGATCGTTCAATCCCATAAAAAAAAAAGGATCTGCTTCTCACTCCAAAAACCTCGTGACTACATATGTAGCGCATATGGCTCACTTTTGCTGGACTTGATATACATTTTAGCACAGCGGCTGGCGCTATAACGCGCAGCATGCTTGTACTTCGGATTTTGCGAATTTTCGAGGTGAATGGCTTCCTTTATGTCTACATGTGATGTACAGAAAGTACCAAAAAATCCATGAGAATATTAAGGGGGTTTCACAGAAGCTGTTTTTGCGATGTGACACGCGATGCAACGGGATCTGCGACTGAGGCTGTGTTTACATGAAGCGTTTCAACCCGGGTTGAGTTCGACACGGGTCAGATTTCAACCCACCAGGTGCACAAAATGAATGGCGCGTTTACATGACGCATTGCGCTTGACCCGGGTTGAAATCAACCTTTTTTTTTTTTGCTTGATTTTTTTTTTGATCTGAAATGTAGTCTTTGGCACCTATGATCAGGGGATGGCCCACGCCTGGTAAAAAACAAAAAAAACAAAAAAAAAACAATGAGAAGTTGCGTACAAATCGTGTACAGACTAAACAGACTTTGGATTCGAATATAACAGAGTGGAAAACCGGAATCCGAGAAAACGATAACATGCAAAATCATGAAAAAGTGGGGGGGGGGGTACTGAAGCAGAACAGTAGCCAAACACACCACGGATAGTTACCGAAAGCACTCTGCAGCAGCAAGGACCACAGAAGCATCAGAGTCAATGACTCTCTGGCGGGCATCTTGAGACCGTGGCCTGCGGTGACCACGGAGGCTGGCATTGGAGGCACGAACAAGAGAAAAGGAAACCCTTGACCTAATAAAGGCAAGAAGTGAGGAGAAGGGCTCCTTTCTCTTGTCGGCGAGCATAGAGGCGACACGCTTGAAAAAAGCGGAGGCGGACTTGCCGTAGCCGCCGGAAGCGCTGAACACAATGGGAGAAAAAGACGCGTGTTCAACTTCCCGGACGCGTTCTTCGTACGCGCGCCTTTTCTCGGCCTCATGCTTCCGGTAGGTGGCTGTGATGGACTGTTGGCGGTTGGAGCGGGCGTGCGGGTTGAATACCCGGATGTCCAGTAGTGCCCGTTCGAAACGTCCACCCCAGACACCCGATGCGGCCACATCCAGGCGGGCACCATCCTCGGAGATGGCGGAGCGGTGACGGAAGGTCTCACCGGTTAGCGGCTGGAGATGTGGCTCGACCTGGACATCATGGGCCACTTCACGCAGGAGAGATGCGGTGAGATCCCGAAGGTCATTATGCCGCATGGCGGGGTAGCCACCAGTTGGGCAAGACAGCGCGTGTTCCGGTGAAAACGCTTTGCCGCACACACATTCTGTTGGCAGGCCTGGAGGGGTCCAACCATACCGTAGGCAGAGAGCGTCCCAGAACGCCTGCTTGTGTAGGTTGAAACCATACTGACGAAGGGGCCGACAGGTCAACCAGCTGGAGGCGCCCTTTTCAGCAGCAAGATTCAGGGTGCGCTCTGTGGTGCTGGTGGAGGTGGCAATGACCGAGGCAACCGCTTCCTTCGCCAGGCGCCGGGACTGGGAAACAATCTCTGCCTTCGCTGTGATGGTGGCAGCTGGGACGCCTTCTGCTGACTGATCTTGCTGGAGGATCTTCTGCACGAGAGACTTGGTAATATGCATAGAGTCCTGGAACTGGGAGGCAAGGGAGGATGGGTTGACAATCCCCAGCCCTCCGTCCCTGCACGGTAGGGCCAGCATGGCACGCTCGATGTCTCCTGGCGGGACGCGGTTGATGATGGCAGGGATGAATTTGGTACGGATTCTTTCCTCCAAAGGTGCGAGCAGGTCGGCCGTATTTGGCACTGTCCGGGCGACAAAGGACCACTGATGGCGAACTCCCTGGCCGAAGGCAGCAAATGCCGCTTGTGGTTGGGTGCGGGCGAACTCAGCCAGAACATCCACTTCGCGACACCACTCATCCACCTTGCCTGACACATATGCCGAACAGAATGTTGGTGATCCGAGGACGGCACCTAGGTGGCGACACCCATCCGACCGGATGTCTATGCTGGAGTCCTGGAAGATTTCCCTGGCTCGATCTAAGCACTCGGGCTTCACCAAAAGTATCGACTTTTTGGCGTTGATGTAGTATCCATAGGATGGACCTTCTTCTTCCAGGATGGACCACCACTTATGAAGCCTGGTGAGGGTGCTTGCTGCTGTGGAATCATCTGCGAACCACGCTTGTACGGCTTTGCTAGAGGCAGCACGACGGATGAGAGGCACGGTGCCCAACGCATACATTGCCATTGCGAGCGGATCGCCTTGTGTAGTTCCTTCACAGGAGAGAATGGTCTCGCCACCGACGAACAGCCGGGATGGGGACCGGTACGTATTGACGATGGTGGTGGAGAATTCTGGGCACAGATGCTGGATGTTGCGAATGCATACGTTGCGGTTGATACGATTGAACGCATTTGATGCATCGGCTAGGAGCACGGCCTCAGTGTCGTCTTGCGCGAATGCGGATCGCATAGCGTGGATGGCTGCTTCGATGCCACTCTGTTGACCTGCACACAGTTGGAGGCACCCTGTGGCTTGCTGAATTGCTGGGCCTACTACCATCAATATGGCCTTGCCGATAACACGTCGGACGACCTCACCAATTCCGATGGGCCGAACTCCGGGTTGCTTGTCTAATGGGATCAGCCTGCAGGCGGTATAGGCCTCAAGGGAGGAAGGGTCGATGGCAGTGGTCGCTATGCGACGGGCACATAGGGCGAGCGCATCGCAGAGAGCATCAGAGGCACTATGGAAGGACGAACAGATTCTTCGCCAGCCATTGGCGTCCATGCCTGAGGGTCCGGCCGCACCGTTGGTATTGAGGACTGATTTCATGATGGCCTCTCTCGTGATGGCTGAGAACATGATGGCATGTGGTTGTTCGGGAGGTATTCCCGGTATAAGCACTGCCTCATGGAGTGGCTCACCCGGAGGGTGCTTGGAGATGAGGACCTCTCGGACTGATTGACCGTCAATGATGTCGTTCAGGGAGTGCGAGCCCGTGGATGATTCTTGGGAGAGCATTCGAACCGCTGCTCCGGTCTTCCCTGCAGTGATCAGTGATGCGAAGTTGCGTGCGTCATTCCCCTGACTAGCTGGGGTGGGACGGGTGGAGGATTTACCGGCGTCGAGTTGCTCCTGAATTGTTCGGGCTT